CTTGAGGGATGTACCTTTCCCTTCAACCAGACCTGCTGAAGAGTAGCTGAGTGGGGACCATAGGAGAGACCCAGACTTCAGAGCCCAGCCCTGCTTGTTCTTAGAACCCTAGGTTTGGGTCATGCTGAGACACTGTGGATGTGTCCCTTGTCTGGGCCAGGAGTGTTGTTCAGAGAAAGATGATTCCCCAGACTTGGGCGGGGTGCTGCCTCCAGGCCAGGCTTCCTATTCATTCTAACCATCTCTCTGTAGCACTGGCACCTGGGATTGAGGGTGCCTGTGGCTCTGGGCAGCACTCCATATCTAGAGCATGCGCTGCATGGGAAGGTGATGCATGGGCAGAGTGAGAACCTGGCCATGCGTCCACCTGGGGGGCTCCAGGTCTTCCCAAGAAGAGCCCCCTGGCCCCAGGCCAAGACTGAATCCTCCACCTGTGACTGGGTCCTGAATGAGGTGCAGCACCGTGCCTGAGTCTTCATCAGTGTTGAAGCAGAGGGCATCGTCTTTCTCCGGAACTTGGATGATGAAGTATGAGGACTGGGAGCACATCAGACCAAGGGCTGGCTTCTGGCACCTTAGACTGTAGCTGGGGCCTCCCTGAGCTGAGTCTCTAGATGGGCAGGAACGCTGTGCCCAGGACCCTGAGCCTTCACCTGGGGCAGGGGAGCTGGGGAATTCACTGTAGTAGTTAGGGTTCTGAGGAGGTTGGTAGTCAGCTGTGGATGCCAAGCGAGAGAGGACTGAGCTAAGCCAGCAGCCCTGGGAGACGCCGGGACCCCACCTGGAGTTGGCTCTTGCCCCTCCCCTTCCTGCACTCTAATGCCCTTGCCACCAAACCCTCGATCTCAGGACACTATGTGCATCTGCATGTCCCTAGAACAGATTCAGGAAAGACCACAGAGGGGAAGAGGGCAGCGTCAAGCTCCAAGAAGTTCAGGAAGAAGGCTGCAGTAGCTGGCATATGAGTGGGTACCCCCAAAACCCATAACTTAATTATAAAAAATTATATATACACGCATGTTTAAACTTCTGTCACCTTCTAAGCCTTCTACATTTGATGCAGTACACCTTATCTAGATGCATTTTCCACTGCTCAAAATAGTTTTTGAACGTTGATTTTGATGCATTTTAGTGCTTCTGCCATTTTTGGTCTCACCTCTTCCACATCGGCAGAACGTTTCTTTTTGAGGACTTTTTTCATCTAGGAGGAAAAAAATAGCTTGGGGCAAAATCTGGTGACTAGAGGTTGGGGCTCGGGGGTCGAAAACTTTTGAACAATCATTGTTGTGTGGACAGGTATTCTGGTAAACTTCTCATCATGAAATGGGAAACACATTGAAAGAATCTCCCAAAAAATTGTACTGAAGCTGAATGCAGCCTCTCATAACAATGCTAGCTGGTATACTGATGCTGATGGGTTTCTAGGTCACTTACCTAGTGTGAGAAGCCTGTAGTACAAGGGGCCTGCCCTTCCAAAAGATAATTGTTTGGGGGGGTTCTCCCTTCTATACCATCAAGGCCATGGAGGGTACCACAGATGTACCTGATGAGAAGACAAAGGGCAGTTGTGAGCAGGTTCCTGGGGTTTTGTCTCCCTCAAACCCATGCCTTCTGCCTGTCTTGGTGGCTAGTGGCCCCAGTGGAGTCCCAATGTTGCCAGATAGAGGTGGAAATGTGGCCCCAAAGCTTAGGTTTTAGAAAGGGAACACCACAGGAACTAGGGCTGGTGGCAATAGTAGTATAATTTCATTGCTAGAGACAGGGCGTTTTGATGTGGCTAAGATGCAAGCCAGGGGGTCATCAGTGTCTCTCTCCTAAGCAAGGCTAGCAATGGAATATGTCCCCACTTCTGAACTCCCCACTACCCAGCTGAGATGAGTGAGGTTCACAGCTGTCAGTTGTTCCTTGGTAGTGAAATACCCACCCTCCCACACACCCACACATACACATGGATGCACATACACACCCACGTATATACGGGCACATTTGTCAGGGTGTTCTGAAGGAAAGGTGATGGCCCAGCCCAAATGTGTTCCTGGCACAGATGGAGGTAGGGCAGGACAGCAGGATCTGTGGGGGGCCCTGTCCATGGTAGGGGGATTGTAGGGGGCAGGCTCCAATTTTATGGTGAGAGAGACCCAGAGCCTTGTGGTCCTTGAGCAAATAGACTCAACCTCACTGTGCCTCAGTTTCCTCACTGTAAGTTGGGAATCATAAAAAGACCTTCTTGGAAGGTTGCTATGGGATTAATGGAGTATAAGTGGCTGATGTGCTAACTTGTTATTTTTTCAAGCCACAGCATACTCTCATTCTGACTGTCCTCGGGTAGGGGAAGTCACCCTCTATCAGCTGATGGGGACCCTGGGGCTCAGAGAGGGACAGAATCATGACCTGGAAATAGAGCTGAACAAGTCCCAGGTGTCCTGCATGCATGCTGGCTAATGAGGAAAGGCCCCTCAGTGCTTTCTTGTCCTCTTTCTGTGATGCCCACCCAGCTGCTAGCTAATGCTTATCTTCTGCATTCACAGGCACAGCAAAGGGGGAAGAGAAGAGATGCGTTAGAAGCCACAGACTACTGCTGTGGGACCAATGTAAACAAAGCCGGTGGCTGGAGCAGGGGCCAGAGTTTGCTGACTGGCCAGCCTCAGCTGTGGGCCTCCTAGCAGCCAGCCATTCCCGCCTGGAACCAGGAGCTCCTGGAAGCCATAGGCCTGGCCCGGATTCTTACCTCCCATGCCTCCCCATGCTACCTCCCCCCACCACATACTCTGTGTCCATTGCAGTGGACATCTGGGACACCCTTCTGATTGAGTAGGGTGGTCTGGGGTCTGGTTGTGGAGGCTTGGTCCCAGCCCCCTGCAACTTTCAGAGATCCGGATGCCTGGTAGCCTGCCCCAGACCTAACTTATAGGTTGGAAGTGCTTCTTCTTGCCTAATTAAGCCCTTTCATGCTACAGCCTAAGTCCTTTCCCTTGAAGCGGCCCCTGGGCAGTGTGCCTCATTTACTCTTATCCCTTTAGATATGCAGAGATGTCCTGTTCACCCCATGCCCTTCAGTATATGCTGACTGCTTCACTCTCCATGCCACTTTCCCCAGCCCTTGGCTCCTTCTCCTCAGCCTGGCCTACGCTGCTGCTGGGTACCCAGAACCCAGGGTCCTGAGGGGAGACCTCTGAGTTCTGGCTTCCACTCCTTGTGCCCACCTTCCCCAGGGTTGTCAGCAATGACCAGTTGGTCCTCATTGTCCTCAGGCTTGGTCACCACCATGGAGCTCAGCGGAGTCACAAAGTGATACTTGAGGGACAGGTCCAGGGCCTGGGCTGTAAGGTTCTCTTTCTCTTCACTATGGGCTTTCTTGCTGTGAGGGAGGGGCTGGTCAGGAGGGTCAACCCAGAGAATAGCTGCTGCCTGCCTTGGATGCCCTGGGTCCCAGGGCGCCAGGAGCGCTAGAGGCAGCCAAGGCCCACTTTCCTCCTCCCCTTTGTGGGATCCTACAGGGTGGAGCCCACTGGAGCTCAGGAAAGACTGGCTCTCCAACACCTGTGGCATGTGGACTAGCCCTGTTTCCCTTCTGGCCTTAGTTTTCCCATCCATAAAATGCAAGGGGCTACAGCACACATGACTGTGTCCGCGTGCCATGTGCTGAGAACAGGCCAGACCCTGTGTAGTGCTTTATGAGTTTACCCACCTCGATGAGCACAGACTTCACCCTCGAGAGCTGGCCCAGCTCTACCTTTTGGGAGCTGGGGGCTGGAGTCCTAGCCTCCAGTTCTGTTCAGGCTCAGATTCACTGGGCTGTGTTGTATGGGGAGTGGTGTGCTGAGGCCCTGACCTGCCCTCAAGGGTACTCCCAGGCTGCTGACCACCATGCTTGCCCACTTGAGTCTTGGGGTGACAGGCCAGGGAGTGAACGCAAAGGACTCCTTACAGACTACTCTGCAAACAGGTCCTTGTGCTGGACCAAATGAGGGCAACACAGCTGGTGCTGAGCAAGGGGTGCCCCCTCCCTGGGGTATGGCCAAATCTTTCTCCTCTTGTGCTCCCCCAGAGCACAGCTAGCACAGGAGCAGGTACAGGTAGGTGCTGGGACAGTATGGGGCCCGGTTCACTGTTTCTCCAGCAGCTACTCCATGGTTAGGTAGGCCCAGAGTTGCTCGATGTAATCCCCAAAAATGTATTGCCGCTCCTACAGGGCCTTCTCCATCTCCTCCATGTCTACCTCTTCTGTGAAGGTCAGGTGGATGGCCTGGGGCAGGGGTAGAAGAGACGAGGGGCTAGAGTCAAGTGGGTTGGGTTCAGGGACAACTACACCTGGACCATCAGTCGGCACCCTTGGCTGGAGCCCCTCCCAGCACATGTCCAGGCCCTGGTCCAGCTCACCCCATGGCCTTTCACATCTGCCTTAAAGGCGTCCTTGCACTCATTCACCCGGCTCCCGGCCACCACAATATCAGAACCATTGTAGAAGTGCTGGTAACTGTTCTGGGTGAGATCAAGGATGGCGTTCTCAGGATGTTCCAACTACGCCCGTCAGCAGTGGGTTGGCCACCTCCTCGTAGAAGCCCTGCAGTTCAGATTGGGACAGATAACCTCAGGCCACAGAACCAGCAGGGAGAGGTCAAGGGTGGACAAGCTTCCACCAATGCTATAGCCTGATGTTCATCCCCCAGGACTGGGCCAGCCTGGCTCCTGATTTTCATTTTTCCTTGGCCCTGACTATGTCCTCTGGCCTGTGGGAGTCTTCACTTCCCTCCCTCCACAAGCTCCTAGGTAGAAACCTGGGAGAAGAGAAAGAAAGGACAGAGTTCTTGACACACAAAAATATTTAAGGAATGTCTGTTAGAAGGAAAAAATGAAGAGAAGCAAAGCAGACTAGAGAAGGTATTGTGGAGGGGAGTGCAGAGATCTGAGGCAGTCAGGGAGGCGCCAGGCTGCCGCTGTAGGGGTGGAAATGCTCTTGGTTACCTGAGAGAGGAACAGATGGTCAGATTCAACAAATACAAAGGACATGCAGCTGGATTTGAATGGCAGATAAATAATGAGTTTAGTATGTGTAAGTCTGTTATGGGTTGAATGTGCACTCCTAAAATTCAGCGTTATTTGGAGATAATGTCTCCAGAATGAAGTCTTTAGGTGGGTCCTAATCCAATATGGCTGGTGTTTTTTATAAAGAGAAGAGATTGGACACAGAAGGATACATGTGCAGACCAGGGCCAAGATGACCATAGACAAGCCAAGGAGAGTCGCCCAGGACAGACCCTTCCATCCTAGTCCTTAGAAGGAACCAACTCACTGCCACACTGATCTGGGACATCCAGCTTCTGGAATTGGGGGACAATACACAGTACTCTGTGGTACTTTGCTATGGCAGCCCTCGTAAATGAATACAATGTCCTATGCAATATTTGGAGCATACTTACACTAAAGCTGAGTTCACTGTTTTTCAGAGATTCATATTTAATCAAATGTCATGTATTTGCTCTGACAACCCTACTATAAAAGTAGGCCTGTTCTGTGTAGCCTGAGGACAAAATCAGACCACTATTGATGGGTCACAGGTGTTCAGAGGTAGGTTTCAATCCAAAACTCTAACAACTGAAATTGTCACATGGTGGTACAGTTGCCTCAGGAAGTAATAAGGTCTTCATTCCTGGAAGTGTGCAAGATAAGGCATACCTGCAACTGCAAATTGGCATCCGAGTTCTCATAAATGTGCCAGGCAAACTCATGATTCTCCAGGACCATACTCTTTAGGAAGTTATAATTCAGATTGTGGCCAAAGCCCAGTTTATACAAGGGGAACGTACCCCTGATGGCGTTCCACACATTCTCTTGGATTTTTTCAGGATTGCTCACACCTATAGGAGAAGAGGATATTCACACTCCAGCCACAGTCCTGCAAACTGGCTCTATCTGGCCCAGTTCTGTCTGGAGAGTTCTGACTCCCACACATGCAGAGCTGGTAGGGTCACAGCCATGAGCCCTTGTCAGGAGCCCTGGCAGTAGGAGGCAGTACCCTGCCCTTGAGGGGCTCCCCGGCCTTGGGAGACCCTAGAAAGAGGCCTGAGGTTTTTAGGTAGCCATGTACAGAGCCAAGAGCAGTAGCCAGAGCCACAGCATCTCTCACCAACATTGGCATCTCCGTCGGTCAGCATGATGACAATGAAGTGCTCCTCTCTGGGACTCTGTGCTCCTCCCGAGCCTTGTTCAGCATACTGATGCCCCTCAGCAGCCCATCATTGATGTTGGTCACTGGGACACAGACAGACAGCACCGTGGGAAGTTGTCCTCAGGATGCCAGGTGCAGGGAGTCTGGAGTTGGGGAGCCCGGGATAGCAGGCTCTGCTTGTGTGCCCAAGGACCCTGTCTGTCAGTACATGGTGGCACTCAGCAAACACTGAATAAATCAGTGCATGAACCAGCAAATGACTCACACCTTCAAATGGTGATGCGAGGGCTGCAGAAGGGTGAGGGCCCACGGTGATTGTAAAGCAATTTGGCAATCAGTCTGATGGTCTTGCTAGGGGCACAGGGATGTGGTGTAGACCTCACACATGCTTTTCCATAAGAAACAGGGCCAGGAGGAAGGATTCTTTGTGGCCTTCTTTTACTGGGACTTGTAGGGTGCCAGGATCATGGCTTAGACACAGAAACAACGGGTTTTGTAGACCACAGAGAAGCCACCCTATGTCCTGTCTTCAAGTCTGAGGACTGCCTATTCCTCCCTCTACCTTAGCTCGTGTCTGTAGGGCCTGCTCATGAAGGGAAGCAGGCTGCTGGGGTGGGGGGCAGAGGAAGGAGCTGCTAGCAGGCGAGTCTGGCCCCTCTGCCCTTACATCCTCTGTCATTGATGTTCTTCACAAATGTCCTGGCCTCCTGGAGGTTCTCTGGAGTGGCCTGGACTAGGTCCTCTTTCCAAGTAGTCACATCTCCACTGAACAGGATGAAATTCAGGTAGTCTTCTTCTTTCATGTCCTCCAGGATTTTGAGAGGGCATCCTTTGTCTGAAGGAGAGAGACACACAGACAAGAACCCAGGAGTGGCCCTGCAGAGAGCCAGGTCTGCACCAGCAAGCCATGCATGAGGTTTGCCTAAAGTGGGCAGAGGCCTTGAGCCTTCTTTTATCCTGTCCCCACTCTCCTCCTTCCCCACAAATAACAGCTTTTTATTCCCACCCCAAGACTTGCCTCTTGTGCTAAGGAAAGTACCTGCTCTAATTTCCTACCAGACATGGAACCACTGACATCAATCACAAAGGCCACATTCTTGGGTACTATTGGAAGGCCTTGGGGTGCAAAGAAGTGCACAAGGTAGCCATTGATTATCTAGAAAGGGGAGAGAGAGAGACAAAGGTGACATCCCTTAGCAACACCACATGGACTACTCGTAAATAGAAGCCCAAGAATAGACGTTCCTATGCCACCCTTCAGGGGGTGCTGTACAAAGGCTTTATCTAGGCCATCCCATGCCATGTAGGAAAAGTGAGCCTTGGGTTGAAGATGGAGGGCAATGCACTATATGCAGCCGCAGCCCCTTTTGCACCAGCCCACCCACAATGATGGTGAGTCGACTCCTGTGTATCTGTAAGTTGGCTGGAGACTCTGTTCGCATTGTAGGTGATGGTGAAGCCTCCGTTGAGGAGGGAGTCTATACAGGCTGGGCATGAACGCTGTTGGTCTAAACTGGCCTTGAAGGCTACATGGCCCTGAGGGATGGCAACGGAGAACCTTGCTCAGCTTGGCCTGGCAAGCTCTGTGGAGCAGAGGTGCTGCCACCACAGGGAGGAGCTCTTTGGCAGATAGAGACCAATAAGGGCTAGAGGCCTGGGCAGCCCTGTCCAATACCTGGTGTACTCTTCAGCCCCTAGGACCCAGTGGAGGCTACTGTTCACCACGATCTGGTCCATCTGAGCACTGCTTTGGAGGACATGGGGCATGAGTCCTTTCTGATTCAACCTTCCTTTTCCTTTTATATTTTTAATTTTAATTTTTATTTTTTTTGAGTTGGAGTCTCACTCTGTCACCCAGACTGGAATGCAGTGGCACGCTCCCGGCCACCGCAGCCTCACCTGCTGGGCTCCAGCGATCCTTCTGCCTCAGCCTTCCAAGGAACTACAGGCGCGCGCTACCACGCCTGGCTGATTTTTTGATTTATTGTAGAGATGAGATCTCGCCAAGTTGCCCAGGCGTGTCTCAAACCCGCACGCTCAGGCAATCCACTCACCTCAGCCTCCCAAGTTACGGGATTACAGGCTGAGCCACCGAGCCCGGCTTATTTTTTTATTTTTTTAGGGACTGGGCTTTCTATGTTGCCCAGACTGGTCTCAAATTCCTGGCCTCAAGTGATTCTCCTGCCTCGGCCTCCTAAAACACTGGAATTTCACTGCAGGCATGAGCTACCATGCCCCACTTATGTCTCCCTTTTTGCTGGCCCACACACCCCTTAGCTCAGCCTATCTTGGAGCTCTGCACTGAGGGGCCACTTAGGGAGGCAAGTTTTGCACCATAAAAAGGAACTTCTTGTAGGGTGGTTTGGAATGTTGGAGTGTTGATGCCAAGAGAAGCGGAGGCGGGAGAGAGGAGAGTGGCCAGCGGGGAGAAGGCTCTGGGCAGGGATATGGCTCTGCAGAAGCCAGCAGCCCTGTGAGTATGTGCTCCTCAGACCTCATCCTGCAAGTCCTGAATGACTGAGGTCCGTTGTTTATATAAACATTTATTCATGTACTCCCCATTGGCAATAAGGGCCCTGAAGAGCTGGGGGCCTTGGGGGCTGGGGCAACCCTCCAACCTGGAGAATGGAGTTATCTCTAATTGGTCATCACTCTGTGTAGAGTCAATAGGTCTAAATTACTGCCCCTGGCCTTATCTCCTAATCTTCAAAACAAGGGCCATAACCCCTGCCATATGCCCTTCCCAAGGTGGAATAAGACTGGGCTTTATAAATTGCTCCCCATCCTCCCAGTACGATTGAGATCCCCATTTCTCTGACAGGTTGCCAGCAGACCCCTGCCTTCAGCATTCTCACTCCTGACCGCAAGTGGGCAAAGAGTAAGGTGGTAGTTGTAGACTGATCTCCCCTGCCCCACATGCATGCATCAGAAAAGTTCTGGGCAGGGGATACCCTGCTGGGATCTGTCCCTGTTCCCTATGTACGACAGGCATCTACCACATTTTTCCTGAGAAGGACTTGGTGAGGGCACTTTCCAGGAGGTCATTGGTGATAAACATGGCCTCTGCATCCAGCATGCTGATGTCCTGGGGCTCGAAGATGTCTACTTCAATCTGAAATGGCCAAAGTAGAGACATGTCACTTAGTGACTGCAGAGTCACCCTTGGTCTGTATCAGTCACCCTTGGTCTGTATCGCCATAGGCCCTTCCCTACACTCCATGCGGTTTCCACAGGAGCAGCAAAGCAGCTGATTACCTTGAAGTTTTTGACCAGCTGCTTGGGCTGGACCTTGAGGTACATCTCGAACTTGCCCTTGTGCCTCTTCAGCAGCTCCTCATAGGTGAGCTCAAAGGTGATGCTGCTGCCCGCAGCCACATTGATTGAGACTGTGAACTTCTCCAGCTTCTTCTTGAAGGCCCCGAACCAGGTGGGAGAAAGTGACTACTCCAAAGACTGCACAAGCCCACCCTTCCTCAGTCCTGGGCTCAAGTCCCAGCCCTTTGCTTAAGGAGACCCCTAACCATTCTGAGCCTTGGTTGCCTCAACCTCAACACAGGAGAGGGAAAAATTGTGAGTACCTTTTGCTGTAACAATAATAATAGCAGTTGTTTGTAGCCCTGAGGTCCCTTGAAGCCAAGGCATTCTCCTTGGCCTGGGGGTCCACACTCACTCAACCAAGCCCACTGTCTTGCCCTGGGACACAGCCTTTTCATACTGCTTCTTGGCAACTTCCTTTTCCTTGACACTTCCAGGGTAGGTAATGCTGTCGATGGTCCTGCAGGATAGAGGGTTAAGGAGGGTCACATTGGGCCAGAACCTTTCCTGAGCCTAGTGCCAGCAGCCATGGTGGCACCCACAAGGTGAAGTTGGTGATGAAGGCTGTCTTGGGCAGCTCCACGTCAAAGGAAACCTCCTTGGCCATATCTGCACGGTTGATGGCTCTTGTGGTGACAACATTGTGAGCAAAGCGAGAAGTCACCTTGCAGCTGATTTGGGTACTGTAGACCTCGATGCCATCAGTCACCTGTGGGAGAGTTGGGCAGAGATCAGCCAATCAGGGAGAGCGGGGAACCAGGTCTGCAACCCGGCCACCTCCCTTCCAAACTTCCTTGCAGGTTCTGAGGCTCCTGCCTAGTGAGCAGCCCCTCCTTCCTTTCAGTATTTCCTGTCTAAGGCCTTGGCCACATCCCTGTTCCCCACATTCCACTGCCCACCATTGTTCTGATGCTTGCTCTGCCTCCCCAGCTCTGTCATCTGTTGACACACAGCTGTAGCCTGTGAGATCTTGTTCTGCCTCCTCTGCTCATCCTGAAATCCAGGCGTGCCCAGGACTTCAACCTGAGAACACCTGCCCCCAGCCCCTCCTGTCCTTCCTTCACCACACACTTTCCTTCACACACACCCCAGGCCACCTCCTGTGTCCTTTGGTAATCTCCTGATTCTGTCTCCCAAGCAGGAGTTTACTTCCTGTGCCAAGGCAATTCCCCAAACACCCTCTCTCCAACAGGGGTGTTGGACTGAGGAAGGCCCCAGGGAGATGTTGGGGTTCAACAGGGATATGAAGATGCCTCATGAGCATGTGAAGGGACTGCTTCACTGTGCATTCTCAGCCTGCACACAGGGCCAGGTACCAAGTGCTGTGTGTTTGTGGAAGGAAGGGATGTCTGGATGGGGGGCCTTTCTGGGCTGCATCTCACGAGGCTGGAGGGGCTAGAGTTCTGTGGTGCTCTTTCCCAGGGTCTTGTGTCATGTGGGTGTCTTCCAGGCAGGGGCCAAGAGTTGTTTGCCAGTTGGGAGGGACCTGCTGTTATGGCCCACATCTTTAGCAGTTGGGCAGCCAGCTCCATCCTGCCCTTCCCCATCTGGCCCCATTCCCGGTGAAAGTTCTCACCCCTTCCGGGAGGCTCCGTTTCTGCAAAGACACAAATAAACAGGGGATCAGGCCAAGGCCAAGGTCACATGGCCTGGGGGAGGCTCTGGGCTGGGATCAGGGTTCAGCAGTGCCCCTGCTCCACACACAGACCTTGAGGGATCTCCACATGTAGGGACCCTCCCAGAGCCATATGTCAGAGTAGGAAGAATTCTGGATAGACAGAAAACTGAGGTCCAGAGAGGGACAGGTCTTCAGGTCACCCAGAGAAGCAGGGCAGAGAGAAATGAACTTGGTACTCTCTCCATGTTCCACATACACCACCTTGTTCTGTCTCTCATTCTGCCTTCCCTTGTCCCTCGGCCTTTTAGGCCTCTTCCCCAAGTACCCCTACCCCTGTCACACTCCACCGGACTCAACTCAATGTTTTATGTAGATCTCTGCACTTGTCTAAGGCTTGGACCCCCACAGCTCCTTGGTGAGCAGTTCATGGTGCACTGCTCCTTTGACAGGTAGGGAAACTGAGGCCCAGAGAGTTTAAGAGTCTTGCTCAGGGTTAGACAGCAGGATAGTATAGGCCTTGGCTGGAGTGCACTTCCCCAATGTCTAGCTCTGTTTTCAGTCATTCAGTGCCCAGCCCTCTGCCTTTTCTTCACCCAACTTAGATGACTTGTCCTCTATGGTACCTTCTACCTGTTTGACACTCAACGCCTAAATGATGAAGAGAGGTCAGATTCACCTCAAGCTGGAAGGGGCTCTTCAGGAAGTCAGAGACCACCATGCCAGAAAGCAGAGCAAAGATGAGCCAGGGCCACCAAATGGACACCATTGCTGACCACGCAGGCCTGGCCCATGCTCCTTATATGAATAAGCCTGGTGTTTTCCAAGCAGGGTCAGTGACCTGCAGCATGGAGTGGGAGTAGTGGAGGCAGGAAGCTTGTCCGGGAAACTAGGCATGGGCAGAGTAATGGAATCCCAGATGTGTGTGCCTGAGAGGGCTTCATCAGGCTCCACTCATGACAGGATGGGGGCCATGGAGGTCCCCTAGAAATGCAGGAGCCGTGTACTGACAAATGGGTGCTGGAACACCTTGGTGTGCATGTTGGAGATGAGTATGGAGCTGCATTTGAAGCAGATGGCATCTCAGCATTGCTGCCTCTTGTCCCTACCACTGATGTGGTCTCTAGTCTGGCCCCCTGGATTGCAGTCTCTCCCTTCCAAGGCAGCCAGGGCACAAAACCAGACCCATTGCCCACAGGCTCAGACCTCCACAGTGGACCCCGTTTCTCATTACCCTTCTATGGTGTGTTACTCAGGAGAGCAGGCCTTCCTCCAGGGCTCAGGGAAAGGACAAACCCTGAGGCCTGCAGCTCAGCTGTCTCTGTGATTGGCTCCAATGTGCTTGCTCTCCTCCCACTAGCATGCCCTGCCCTTCTGTGCATGTCACATCTCTCATCTCTCTGCCAGCCCTCGTGCCTCCCCTCCAGAAGCCTTCCTCCTCTGTGCTTGCTCCAAGCCCAAGCACCCTCAGGGCTGGCTTTACCTATATGTCATGACCTTATGTTGAGGCTTGTGTGCTCTGGTCGGATTGCCCCCTCAGGATGCAGAGCTCCTGGGGGGCTGAGCCTTGTCACTCAGGGCCCAGCCAGGAACTCGGACCACTGATATGATGTTCTCAGCCTCTTGGGGAGTCATGCCCCTAAAAGTCTCCAGTGAGGCTGGGCTCCAGTCTCCAAGACAATGAGAGTTACAGGGGCAGGACCTGGTCCCTCTCAATGGGGGCTAGGACCTCCAGAGCCATGTCAGGGCCCTGCCAGTTCCAGTCTCTCAGGGCAACTGCCATATGCCCACCATCCCCATGGCTTCTCTGAGCAAAGCTGACTCTGTGACCCTCCCACTGGGCTCTTACAACTGAATGGGCATAGGCCAGCTGACTTATGGGTTGTGCCATGGCCTCGCTGAAAGTTCTGGGCTTACCTGTGAGATTTACGGAGAGAGTGGGTTGTTGGGAGCAGAGAACAGAAGCCATGAGGCAGTTGGAGCCACAAGGAGGGTATGGACCAATGACTGGAAGAGGTAGAAGCCACAGAGCAATGGCAGAGAGTTGCCAAGTCAGTGAAATGTGGCAGAGCAACAAGTGCAGCTGTTGAGGGGGCAGCTGCCATGCTTGAGGCCCGACTGAGCAGTGCCTGTCTTCCTCGGGCCTCCCAAACCCTGATGCCAACCCCCACTGGCAGCAAACCTGAGAGATCAGATCTAGAGGGCACTGACACCTGGATGTGGAGAGAAGAGCCCTGGAAGCTGCAGCCTAACCTTGCTTGCTGGCCCCTAGGACACCCTGTTCACATGATCATTTTGGCACCTGTGGCTACTGACCACTGGGTGACTGGGACTGTTGCTCAACTGCTGTTGCCCAATGTTGCGCATCAGCTCTTCCTCATGGCCCCACAGCTGCCTGCGGAGCTTCTCCCACCCCCTTTCATCCAGGCTACCGCCTCATCCTCTGCTGCTTGGAGTCTCGGAGAGGGACAACTTGAAACAGGTATTCTAAAGACACTCAAGAGGCCCTGAGGCACAACCAGGGACTGGGAGAGAACCAGAGTCATCATGCAGAACTTAGAATTGGGCAGTTGCTCATATCTGTAATCACAGCACTCTGGGAGGCCGAGGGATTGCTTGAGCCCAGGAGTTGGAGACTAACCTGGACAACATAGCTAGACCTCATCTCTACCCAAAAAAAAAAAAAAAAAAAAAGCCAAATGTGGTGGCACATGCCTATAGTCTCAGCCACACAGAAGGCTAAGGCGGAAGGATTGCCTGAACCCAGGAGGTCAAAGCTGCAGTGAGCTGTGATTGTGCCTGCTACCTGCAGTCCAGCCTGGGCAACTGAATGAGACCCTGACTCAAAAAAAAAAAAAAGAATTGGTCAGAATCTAAGAGATCTTCAGGTTTGCCCCATTTCCATTCTACAGGAAGGCATGATGAGGCCCTAACTGGGCAGGGCCTTACCCAGGGGGGTCTAGATAGCTGACAGCCTGCAGCTCTCCCTCAAGAAGCCCAGGGTACCTCAGAGGCACATTGACTGTCCTACAGCTTGCTGCTGAGGGGCTGCGTTCCATGGGCCTGAGCAGCCTTTGGACTCAGCATGTGTGTGATTGTTCTGGGTCCTCAAAAGTAGTCCCTGGCCAGGCTTGGTGGCTCAGCCTGTAATCCCACGCTTTGGGAGGCTGAGGTGAGTGAATTGCCTGAGCCCGTGGGTTCGAGACCCACCTGGGCAACTTGGCGAGACCTCATCTCTACAATAAATCATAAAAATTAGCCGGACGTGGTAGCGCACGCCTGTAGTTCCAGCTACTTGGAAGGCTGAGGCAGAAGGATCACCGCAGCCCAGCAGGTCAAGGCTGCGGTGGCCCGGAGCGGCCACTGCACTCCAGTCTGGGTGACAGAGTGAGACTCCAACTAAAAAAAAAAAATGTAGTCCCTGTCCTAATGGGCCCCTTGTGAGCCTCATCTGCAGTAAGAACTATATAGCAGTCAACAGAGAAAATGCAGAAACCTTTTGGAAAGGAGTGGATAGGAATCCACCCACCTTTACACAGAGGGCTAGTGGCTCCCCAAAGTGTGGGTTCACCTCTCAGTACACTGTGATGTTGCATTTTAACTGGATCCCAAGGCCAAGACAAAGCAGAAGACCTAATGGGGTAATTTCAGGCATTCAGGTTAGGTGATGTTCCTGGTGCCTTGAAATCACAGCTTCTAGGCAAGGGCTGTCTCTGCCTTTGAGAAATACTAGCCTAGCTGTCAGAGGTTCCCAGCATGGAAACGGCTGAGGTGGAGGCCTTGGCCCCAATAATACAACCTCCTGCTCCTGGTAGGACTTCTTTAGGACCACAAGTTCATTTAGATGAACTTTTGCATATGTTCATTTTTTTTTTTTTTTTTTTGAGTTGGAGTCTCACTCTGTCGCCCAGACTGGAGTGCAGCAGCCGCTCCTGGCCACCGCAGCCTCGACCTGCTGGGCTCCGGCGATCCTTCCGCCTCAGCCTTCCAAGTAGCCGGAATTACAGGCGTGCGCTACCACGCCTGGCTGATTTTTTGATTTATTGTAGAGATGAGGTCTCGCTGCCCAGGCGGGTCTCAAACCCACGGGCTCAGGCAATCCACTCACCTCAGCCTCCACATGTTCATTTTAAGTGAATCTTTAGAATATCCAGAACCAAGTCCTGACAGGCTTTGGCCATGAGCCTCCCAGCTGAATAGAGTAGTTATATGAGAGTAGTAAAGTGCACAGACAGACGAGTTCAAATCCAAGCTCTGCCACATACAGGCTGTATGGTTTTGGGCGAACAACCTAGCCTCGGTTTCTTAGAGCTGTTGGGAACACAGACTTGGGGAATTCAAGTAAGGTACTTAGAACAGTGCCTGGCTACAGGAAGCACGTGCCTTTTTGTGCTGCTGGAGTCCTAGACCTGCAGGGGGAGCTGTGTGCAGGGGGTACTCAGGGCACATGGAGGGCATGGAACCAGGCAGCTGCAGAGAACAGGGGAGGGTTGGTGGGAGGAAGACTTGCTTCTCCTGTCCCTGGGTCTGCTATGATCCCTGAGCCCTTCAGAGGGCAGCATCTTGGGCCATCTCCCTGCCATCCTACCTCCCAAAAAGCAGCCAGCTTTGAGCTAGACATAGTCTCTCTTTAATGGAAGGCATAGGTGCTTTGATACAGAGGATCAGCTTGGTGGGGGAGGTGTGTAGCCCAGACAGTAGGTCAGGATGTTGTCCTCTTCTGCTTTGGTCCCAGGGAAGACAGGCATGCTGGCTAGAGGGCTCAGAAGATGTCAGGGACGATATAGTCAGTGTAAATGCCATCAATCAGCCCAGCTCCATTGTTGTGGATGAACCAGCAAGACACCTCCGCCCCATGCCAGGAGTCCTTGCTGTAGTCTTTTTGCAACCCCCTGGGGAAAGATAAGTCACTTGGGGTCACCTTTTGGACCTGATAAGGTAGCACCTTCTTAGGGGATCTCCCCACCCATGTGACACCTGGAGGAAAGCCGGGACCAATAATAGCAAATGCAAGGCAGCTAAGGTAGAAATGCTGGGAGGGCAGTCTGCCTACCTGGTGACTGTCAACCGGTGGTTCTTCACCACCATCGTGGCATCTGGCTTTGCGGGATCAGAGCCCGGGTGGAGGTCGGACACTTCAAAACCAAAGGGGCGGAAGAATTGTCCTGGAAAGATGCGTTGAAGCAGCAGTTACTATCTTGGGGGACCTGCTTCTGCCTTGCACTCAGTAGGTACTCACAGGGGGCTTGGAAAGTTGCCTGAACATTTCTTGTCAAGGACTTGATTGTTTCTGATAAATCTTAGCACCAAAAATTGCCTTGCCCACTTGCTACCGAGGGGGAGACGTATTTCCAGGGGGCTCTACCTCCCATCATTTTTAGCCAATCCCAAGGGGATCTGGCTGGGACAGAGGTATGAGGGGCAGGTGCCTACAGAGAGCTGTGCCCCACTCACAAGGTCCCTAAGAGCCTTCAGGACCTCTCTTCCTCAAGCATTGCCAGGTTCACTTAAGCATTGTTTTACTGCATGTTTGCAGCCTTTTCAAGGGATAAGAACCTCACCGCAAAACTCATTTTCAGAGCACTGAGCCTTGGAGGCCGTGTTGGAGCTTAGCCTGTCTTGGTGCCCAGCTAAAGAACTGATACACAGCCCCAGGACCCAAGCATCCACTGGCTTCAACACCCTGCCCCATAGCCCTGCCCGCCTGGCTGGCCATACCCAACAGCCCATGCGTTCGGGCTGACATCCGGTGACTGTCCAGCACATAGAAGCCCAGAAAGTCCTGGTGGACCGCGCTCCCCTTCCATACTCGGTGCAAGACGACCTCAAAGGTAGCCCCATCATCCACAGACACCACCAGGTTCCTCTTCTTGTTGATGGTCACCACCACTCTGCAGGGCCAGGTGGTCACAAGGTCAGTGGTGGTTGTACTGCATCCCTCTTCTCATCCTGTATTCTCATCCTCTGAGACCCAGCTCTTATGACTATCCAATCCCCCACCCTGTATTTTCACCCCTAGATGGTTGGCTATTACCTGACCCACATGTCTTCCCTCTTGTTGCTATTGTGTGGGGGACCCTTAAAGTGTGCCAGGCCCTGTGCTAAGCCCTCTATGCAAACTACATCATTCAGTTCTCCCTCTGACCCTATGGTCCAAGGCTCAAAGAGGTTAAGTAACCAAGGTGGCACAGTTGGTAAGCAGTGAAGTCAGGACTCAGAATTCAGCCTGTCTGTCCTCTGACTCCAACTCATCATCTGGGTCTTCCACACTGGACTCTGTCCACCTCTTCCTGTAGCTCTGTTGCTCAGTATCAGGCTCTGGTATTCAGCAGAGTTTGATGAATGAATGAATGAGTGAAGGAAGGAAAAAGTACGTGGCAAGGCAGGTTAAGACAGGTGCCGAGTGGGACACCCAGAGAACTCTGGGGTTTAGCAAAGGAAGAGGGTGTGAGGGCTTCAGGGAAGAAGTGGCCTCTGTGCTGGGCCTGGGAGGATAAGCTGACTTTGCTTGGTGGAGAAGGGGGTGGCATTTAGGGCAAGGGTGCCACGGGGGCCCAGGTATCAGGCACCCGGGCCCAGAGCACATGTAAGGAAACCAAGGGAAATGGAGGGCAGATGGTCCACAGAGCCTGACATTTCTGCACAGGCCACAAGAGCATCATTCGCTGACACTGCTGGGGAATGAGGGTCCTACAGGCTCAGTAGCAGAGCCCTTGGCCCAGGCACCTCCTCCCCTGCTCCTCTCCCTGACCCTGGCCTGGTTACCTGTCCTGACGCAGCGCAGCCTGATCGTTCCAGGAGAACACAGGCCCACCCGAACTGGGGTTCAATGTAATGTTCTTAGGAGTCACTTCCAGTTGAAAGTCTGTCTTGGGATTTGCAATCCCCAGCCGCCCGAAGTACGTGCCCGCATGCTGCTCAGGGCTCCTGGCTTTGCTGCCAATGAGCTGCCCATTCACTGAGAAGCCTGCAATGTGGCAAGGGTCCATCTTGGTTAAGGAGAGGCCTGGCTTTGCTCAGGGGGTGGTTTCTTCCTGAGAGGCCCCCACACTCCACCCGTGCCACTCCAACTTTGAGGATCTCACCTCCTATGGGGTCTTGAGGACTGGTCCCACACATAGTTCCACCTTCTTTTCCTCCTCACCCACCTGCTATACTCAGCTTTCACTCTGAGCCCTGATGGAGGTCTTGCCTCCTCAAGGACAAACTTGAACCTGCTTCTTCTCTATGGCCAACGTCCCTCACACAGGAGCAGGTTCATAGTCATGCTGGAAACACATTGTGGGGCTTCTTCACAGAGGCCTCCCCTGACCTGAAGGGCCAAAAAGCCCCTTCCCCAACCTCACTATCCTAACACAGCATGCCTCACACTCTGAACTCTTCACCTCAGAATATGTTTCCCTGTTTGTCTTCTCCCTTCTCTAAACACTGTGAGAGCAAAGACTGTCTTGGTTCCCACTACACCCCTAGCTCCAAGTAGGGGCTCAACAAACATTTGCAGATGGATCAACTGAATTGGGAAGGCAGGGGGAAGGAGGAAGAAGGGGCCAAGGGATGGAGTCATTCCCCATCATTGAGGCACTACTGGGAGAGAGGCACTCTGAGGCTCTGCTCAGCCATGCTGTGGAGAAGGTGGGCAGGACCCCTGCATAATTTGCAGGACCTAGTATGAAATAAGAATGAGGGGCCCTTGTTAGAAAAAATTGTTAAAGGTTTCAAGACAGCAACAGAAGACCATTAAGCTCAGTACAGGCCCTTCTAAGCATAGGTCCTGTGTCTGCACCGGTCACACACCTGAGAAGCTGACCCTGTCTAGGGTCAGGGTGGGAAGGCAGCAGGCAGATGCCAGCCAGGTGGACAGTGCACAAGCAGTGGGCTGTGGAGGCCTTGGCTGCAGTTCTGTCTATGGCTGAGTGTTGAGGACAGAGGAGCCCTGATCCTGTTCTGTCTGGCAGAGGTGTGATGTCCACCATACCTGTGTCAGGGTCCTGTACCAGGTTCAGGATCACACCAGGATCCTCGTTGATGTTGAAGCACAAGCTGTCCTCTTTCTGGGGCACGTAGATGATGAAGTGGGGGTCAGTGTCCACTGGGGGCATAGCATGTAGTCTGTTATATTGGGCATCAGGCAGATGAGGCCAGGGGCAAGGGTTCAACTAGGCAGGTCCCAGAGAGAGACGGCCAGGCAGGGTAAGTCCCAAATAGGGGCATCCCTCAGGCCCTTCCAAGGACTCACCACCAGTCACTTGGTTTGGCAGCCGCTGGATGTTGGCGCTGGAGTGAGTAGGGGAAGGTTGTGAGGCTGCCAGTACGAATGCTGATGGGCGAAAGTAGACAGCATTTAGAAGGGAGGCAGCTGGGCCTTCCTTGGAGCCACTGATCCCTTTTCTGATGACCCTTCCTTCACAAGGGACTGGCCTGAGGTCACAGGACCAGGGACCACCACTGAGCATCACATGCCTGGTTCTCAGGACATGGGGACATAAGTTTGGCCCAGCAAGGTTGGCTGACCCCTCTGTCTCCTCCCACTGGGACCTGGTGTGGCATAGGCCAGGCTGCTCAAGGGGGCTGTCTAAGGATTCCCAGGCCAGGTGGTGAAGTCAGCTGGAATGGAGGAAGGAAGACTTGGGCAAACAGGGTGATAACCGGGGGCTTTGGTCAGGACAGAATTCACAGTCAGGACCAGCAGTGTGTGAAGGAGAGAGGGGCAGAGATGTGAGTGGTCAGGACGGCTGCCACTTACTCCTTCTGTGTCCCACCATCTCTGTAGAAGACAAGGACATAGGTCAGTGTCACCCACGGCACCCCACACAAAAGGCACGCAGCTCAGTCTACATCAGGCCTGGTCCCAGCCCTTCTCCTGGAGGTCTCAGCCCTCCCCCTTGGGGTCTCAGCTCTCCCCCAGGATCCTGCCTCCTCTTAGACACACACTCACAAGGAGGGGCCCAGGGAAGGCTGGTGGGCATCTGAGTTGCCCAAAGGCCTACGAAGCACAGAGAGTGCAGCAGACAAGGAGTCTGCAGTGAATTAGAGAGGGATGTCTCAGGGAGGGAAGAGCCGAGGAGTGGATCAAGGAGGAGGTGGGATGGAGAGCTGCGTGCCCGGGGCTGGAGCATGCGCCACCTACCGAAGTCCCTGCTGAAACCAATGGATTTAAAACTCACCCAAGGGCAGAGAATCTGGAAGGGGGGAAAGGGAAGAGAATTAAAGCACCCACGAGGCTTTTGGCCCACAGGTTCTCCCTCTGCAGACCCCTGCCGTCCATACCCTCGGGTGGTTTGTCAATGGTGGGCTTCAGGCCGTCCTCGTCTGCCATGCCCCTGATGGTCATGGAAGTCAGTGGGGTCACAAACTGATAGGCCAGTGACATCTTCAGAGCCTGGGATGACAGGTTGGCTCTCTCCTCCCCCTCCACCTTCATCCTGCATGCAAGAAGGACGTCAGCTCTAAGCCCTTCAGCTCAGGTGATGATGGACTTGCACTTCCTCATCCTTTCACCCATTTGTTCACTCACTCACTCATTCAACAAACCCACATTAAACACCTGCAGTGCCCAGCCCAGCTCAGTGGGCACTTAGGGTACATCCTTAGGGACCTCAGAGTTTAAGAAAACTTGGAGATCTGGCAGGGTTGAAGGGCGTGCCTCAGAGACACATTGAGCATTTAACAGCTGTGAGATCCAGGTCAAGGGGTCTAACCTCTCTGAGTCTCAGTTTGCTCATCTGTTAAATGAGAATAATGAGGGAATTCCCCCTATTTAATGTGTCTAGACATTAAGTGTGTCTGGACACAGTAAACAGCAGCCTCCCCCTAGGCAGCTCAGCAGGAGTAAACAGTGGGCTGCCCTGTGCCTGCAGTAGGCCTGTCCCGCCTATTGACTGACTGGTTGATATTAACTCAGGGAGTAAAGGAGAAGAGAAAAGTAAATCTGACCTACCCACAACCTCAAAGACCCAGAACCACCCCTTCTCTGTTCACCTCCAAGGGTGGGGGGGCGGGGGAAGGGTGACTCGGGTGGGCAGTGCCTACCCTGGGCAGCTACAGGGCCATACCGCTTGGCCAGCAGCTCCTGGATAGTGAGGTAGGCCCAGAGGCGTTCCACGTGGTTCTCTAGCATGTGGCCACGCTCTCGGAGCAGTTTCTTCATCTCTTCCTCATCCACCAGGCAGGTAGTCCTGAATTCTTGGCCCTCCTGGGAGTTGAGATGGGGAGAGGGGCTGTGTGCTATGCTGAGCACAGCCCTCAGCAGGTGCTAGAGGCTCTGGGACCTCCTCCCATCTGGTCTCTGAAGCTCTGTTCTCAGCAGCACCCTCTTTCCTGAGCCTGTTCTCATCCTCATTCGCTCATTCTACAAATGCTTGCCAAGCACGCTCTGTGAGCCAGGCTTGGCCTACGCCCTGGGGATACCATGAGATGGGTGGACCAGACCCTGCCCTCATAGAGTTACTCTCTCTGGGGGAGGCCAACAGGCACCCAGCTGTATCCACTATGACCCACTCCTCCTAATGCCCACCATGTTCTGGCTGGGCTTCACCAGTCAGCTTGCCATAGCACACACACATGCCTTGTCTCCCCAGCTGCAATAAAAGGGCACCACTTCTCAAAGGTGTCCTGTGCATCAGGCATGGCATAAGGGTAGTATGTAGATGATTTCACTTATTCCACATAACACTCTAGTGCTGTGTGGTACAGAAAAGGAAACAGAGGTCTGGAGAACTGAACCCAATGGCCCAAGGACACCTAGCTGGTCAGGATGGGTCCAGGGTCCAGCTCAGCTCTCCTTACTCAAAACTTGAGTTCTGAACCCTCAGCCACACTATGGGATGTGAGTCCATGTCCTGGAGGGCAGGGCTCAGGTCTCACATGCCTGTGACCACCCCTGACTATCACCACATATGTACACATGTGTGCATGCACTGCACCTTGGCACAAAGTCTAGCACACAGTAGGTATTTAGAAAATGATTGCAAGTGAGAGGAGAGACTGCCTCTTGCTCTCTCATGCCCTGGGAGGAATGATGTGAGAAATAACAGGCAGTCCATCTGGGGCCAAGAGAATTCAACTATTCAAGGCCATGTTGGTCCCATCCTGCCTGTCCAGCCTGCAGGAGGCTGCATGGAGAGGTGTTCAGGCCTGGAGTGTGTGTGGTATGGTGGGGGTGGGAGCACTACTCTGGTGAAAGAGAGGCCCCTGGGGTGGACGGGAGTGGAAAACAGCGTGGGTTTGGAACCTTTAGGGTGCTGCATTGGCCTCTCCAACCTCCATGACCCACCATTTACCCCATGGGCCTGCACGTCAGCCTTGAAGCTGCCCAGTTTGTGGTCAGCAATGCGCCCGGCCACCATGATCTCCGAGCCTTCATAGTACTGTTTATGGCGGTGCTGGGTCAGGGCCGACACAGTATCCTGGGGGTACTGCAATTCCACATCCACCAACAAGGGTCTGGCTACCTGGCTGTAGAAACCCTGCAGGAATAGGGCGGGTACAGTCTCAGAGCTGAGCACCTTGGGCACCCAATGGGAAGCCTGGCCACAAAGTTGTGTGCCAGGAATCCCCAATTTAGAGAAGGAGTCTAAAGCTCAGAGAGGTGAAATAGCTGACTAGAGGTCATGCAGCTGATTGGAACGCTGCACTAGAGCTTTCTCTGCCTTTCTAGGCTGATGGACAAATGGCCACCAAGGCTGGGTTCCCCTGGGCATGCCATTGGCAGTACACGGGGCATGAGGGGAGACCTGCAACTGCTGGGCGGCGTCACGGTCTTCGTAGATTCTCTGGGCCCGTCCGTTGTTCTCCATGGACATGACCTCCAGGAAGTTAAAGTCCACGTTGTGGCCGAAGCCCAGATTGTAGAGCGGGAACCTGCCCCGGATGGCGTTGCGGACGTTCTTGAGGATTTGGGAACGATCCGTCACCCCTGCAGCCACACACCTGGGCAGTGACGGGATGCTGGCCCGCAAGCATGTGGGGCATGAAGGGGCTCTGGGGAACACTCCCTGGGGTCCAAGCCTCCCATCTCAGACCATCTCTATTCCCCATGGCTGTCTTGAGGCATCTTCTGCCTCAGGCTCACCTGGGTGACTGCAACAACTGCTAACAGAGCCCCTCACAGGCCCCACCCATCTGTATGACTCTGTCACAGGTAGATCTGATTCTGTTTGAAACCCTCCCATGGCTCCTTGCCTTGGCCTGCAAGGCCCTATCAGCCTTCGCGCCCTTGTTTCTCCCCACTCTGCACCTGCCCGCTGCTCCCAGCAGGTCTGGCCAGTACACACACCTTCTTTTTGCTCTAGCTGCCTCCTCTGCCAGGAATTCCTTTCTCTTTCTCCTCTTTCCAGACTGAGATCAGGAATCACCTTCTCCAGGAGGCCTTCCCAAACCCCACCTGGGCCAGGTGCCCCTTGTCTGTGGTTCCACAGCCACATGGAACCCTGTTTTTTCAGGGCCCTCAGCAGGGTATCTGCTCTAGGTCTGCCTCCTGCAGTGGATCCTGGGCTCCTCAAGAGCAGAAACATATCACTTTCCCTTGGTATCTCTTCTTATTTCCTAGTCCTATGCTCGGCACACAGCAGGTGATAAATAAATAGTTCATTCAACTCAACCTAGGAATTCAGCCCATCCTCCAGGGACTTGTGTAGCCCCATGTCATGGAGAAATGTCCCCAATGTCTCAACTCACAGGTCAGAAGTACATCTTGGAGCTCCAGCAGACTTTGTGGTCTGAACTGTGTTTTTAGAACAGTGCTTGACTTCACCCTGAGCATTTCTGCCCCTGATGAATCTCCAGTTATCAGGGTTCCAGCTTCAGCTTGAACAGCTTGGATAACAAGGAAATTGCTACCTCCCAAGGCAGCCCTCAAGGTGCTTACCCTCTGTGGGATCGCCGTCTGTCAACATGATGAGAATCGAGGCATGGTTGCTGAGCTCTGGGAGGCTTTCCTGAGCTTTGTTCAAGATCTCAATCCCCCGGAGCAAACCTCCATTCAGGTTTGTGGCTATAAAGGAGAGAAAGCATACCAATATGCCCTTATCCCAATGGGACAGAGGTGACACCAAGGTGGCCTGAGACCCTCCCACCTTACCTTCGTCCAGGGAAAAGCCCTGCACAAAGTTTCGAGCTGCTTGCAGGTTGGCTTGGGAGGCTTGTACCAGTGAGCCCCTCCATGACTGCACTTGAGACCCAAAGAGGACCAGGTCAAAGTAGTCTTCTGGGTGCATGTCCCCCAGAATCTTAAGGAGTGCCTCCTTGGTCTGCAAGGACAGGATCGTCAGTAGAGGGACTGGGCCCCATGGTGGCCCCAGTATAGCACCTTCCATAAACATGAGATACCCATTTCAGAGATCCACAGTGGACAAGAGGAGGGGATAGGGCAGCCAGGTGACCCCAAGAGAAGAGCATCCTGTTAGGCCTTGGGGGTGACAAGGGGGATGGAGAAGGCCAAGGAACCCAGCATGGGGAAGAAATGATCAGGAGCTCTGGAGGGACAGGATCAAGAAAGAGGACTCCAGGGCCTCTGCTTCCAAAATTCTGCTTGTCCACTAGGTTCTCACTGTACCACAGACAGGACACTCTGATCCCTGTGGGCAGTGGGCCATGCTCAGCTGCAAGGTGCCTACCCATTGACCATAATCACTATCCTGGCACTTTCAGTGCACAGGTTTCCTCTACTGAAGTGCTTCCGCATGAGAAAGGCCATGCTCCTGTGGGAACCATTGTCATTCCCATTTTTGCCACCAAGGAGAGGTGAATGTGCTTGCCCAGGGTTACAGAGTGAGGAAGTGGTGCTGATTCCAGAGCCCCTTCATAAATCCCAAACCAGACTCCAACAGCAAAACCAGCATGGGGTGAGTGAGTGATGGGCTGGAGATGCTTCTGCACGTGCTGCTCAGTGCTGCAGTGTACCTGCTTCACTTTCTGACCTCTCATGGAGCCACTGATGTCAATCACAAAAACCATGTTCTTGTTCATGTTTGTCAGGTTTTGGGGGGCAAAGAAGTGGGCAAAGTAGTTATTGGCCACCTGAAACAGAGGAGGATGAGTGAGGCCTCTCTCACAAGCACCCCTTGCTGGCTCTCTGGGTCTTGAACCAGAAACTCCAGGCTCACCAGGAGGTTGCAGAGGTTTTCTCGATTGACGTCATAGGTCACCTTGAAGTCCCCGTCCAGCAAGGATGTAGAGCATGTGGGGCAGGTCTGCTGCTGGCCCACAGTGGGGCGGAAAAACACATGACCCTGAAACCGTCAAGAGTGTGAGCCATTACTTCTTTGTGCAGCCACAAACAGAACGTTTGCAAAGACGATGTAAGAAGGTGCGTGCATGTGTATGTGTGTGTGCGGTGTGTGAGTGTGTGTGTGTTTGCGTGGGCACAGAAATGAGTTGGGTGGGCCACTCATCTAACTGCTGAGAGTGCACACCCTTAGGTGGTAGGAATAAAGACCCACTTCTCAGCTCAGAATTCTTGGGGTTTTCTACAATAAGTGTCATCACTTTGGATATAGCAAAATGAACAAAAATCATAGCAGTATGACAGCATGAGAGACATCAGTCAACTCAGCCTGTCAAGGGAAAAAGCAACACTGCTTTTTCCAACATTGCTGGAAAATGAAACCCACTGGGGTCGGCAAAGTGTGGACCCCAGAAGGAAGGTCCTGGAGTGCAAGCTTAGGTCTGGTTTGAGTTGGTGTTGGTGCTCAGAGATGCAACAGATGGTTTTTATTCAATACTGTCTATATTTCTGGACTTTCTACATTTTTATTTAAATAATTTTTAGTTTGCTATAAAAGTAAGATATGTTCAACAAAAAAAGAAAAAGGGAGCTGGGCATGATGGCTCACGCCTATAATCCCAGCACTTTGGGAGGTCTAGGTGAGAGGATTGCCTGAGTCTACTGGTTCGAGACCAGCCTGGGCAACTTGGTGAGACCTTATCTCTACAATAAATCAAAAAATTAGCCAGGCATGGTGGTGCGTGCTTGTAGTTCCAATTACTTAGAAGGTTGAGGTGGAAGGATCACCTGAACCCAGCAGGTCAAGGCTGGGGTGGCTGTGAGCATGCCACTGCACTCCAGACTGGGCGACAGAGTGAGACTCCAACTCAA